GTAATGGGAACCTATCCAAATATTGTGTAAGGGAAGATTTTTTTAATATGGCAAGTCTTGGCAAGACGCATCATTTAGAGATCCAGTGGTGGAAAGATTAAATACTTTTATATTTTAGTAAACAATAACCTAGCTCTTTTTCTAATCTTAAAATTGTGTTATTCAATATTTTATTAGGTTTATGTTGCAATCATTACATATCGACCCTAGCCATACGGATTTTATCAGTGCCACCGACAAGTGCAGCTTCTGATAGAATATGGTCCTCCTTTAATATTCATTCGAAATCTAGAAATAAGATAAAAATTGATAAAGTTCGAAAATTAGTTTTTATAAAAGCCAATCTCCATTTTATGGGGAAAGAAATTTCTGCAAATGACAATGGATTCTATAATTTCAAGCTCTGATCTGGAATAATTTTTTTCTTCAAACGAAGATAACTAACAAACTACTCAAAATTAAATCATATTTGTTAAATATTGTTTATATATTCCAAATAAAACATGTAAATAAATAAAAAATTAGTTCAAATCAAATCATATTTGTTTAATTATAATGTTTATAATTGATAAAAACAAAAAAGAGAAATTATAGGCTTGAAGATTTAATCTAGAACGGTTAGGATGGTCGCACAGGATAAAAATTAGACAGAAAAAAGACACTTTATTAAATTCAATCGAAGAAAAATGATAGTCTTTATTGATTATATTATTAGAATATTGACGTTGATGTAATTGTCTTTTTATTTTATAATATGGTTATACAAAAAAAGCAAGTGGTAAAAGAAAATGAAAATATATATCAATATATATATATATTTAATCGGATTGAGATGTATTTATATACATGTTAATTTCATTGAATAAAAAGATAATATGAACATATTTAAATATACAATTACAACAAATTGAATAAGCGAAATATTTAAAAAGTATTTAAATATACAATGAATTACAACAAATTAAGCGAACATGTAACATGCACCACCTCCAAAAAAAATATATAAAAAAATTTAAGTCTTGAAAACACAACATGGTACAAAAAATGGGGAAGGAAAGAGCTCGTTTGGCATGCGGGAGGTAACTCTTATAATGTTACATGAGTAATGGTTAATATTTAATGTTACAATAATTGTTTCATTATTAAAATAATACCCAATACTTACATAAGGAATTATATAAAAAATAATATATATATGGGGATAGTGGGAACTACAATTGGGAAGGGGGAATTATTGTCATTATTTCCTTATATTGGAATATAATAAACAATTACAATTGGAAAAAGGAATTATTGTCATTATTTTCTTATCTTGGAATATAATAAACAATTACAATTGGGAAGGGGGAATTATTGTCATTATTTCCTTTTTTTTTCTTTTTGGAATATAATAAACAATTACATTTGGGAGGGGAATTATTGTCATTATTTCCTTATTTTGGAATATAATAAACAATTACAATTGGGAAGGGTAAATTATTGTCATTATTTCCTTCTTTTTTTTTGGAATATAATAAACAATTACGTTTGGTAGGGAGAATTATTGTCATTATTAACAATGTAACTTATTAATCATAATTATAATAACTAGGAAAAATGGAATATGTATGATGTTTTAATATTTGTAACCAACAATATATAAGTAAAAAAAATATAATGCAATATATTCCTATTGATAATTTCTAATGTGATAAATATGAACAAAGAGAAACTTATCATCTACCTGAATTTCCCAAATGACGTTACTAATTCTCCCAATGACAATCCCCACACGCCATTCTAATGTTAATTCTCTTAAATTTATTCTTTTTACATTGGGTCTATTATCACAGTCATCGTCTTTTAAAAAACTTCATTTCCATCTTAACTCCCTTCCGAATAATCTAAAAGCAGGTGATGACTTAGTAACCGCATGTTTCGCGTTGCGATAATTTAATAACACATCTTCCAAAATGTCATCCCAGCCTCCTAATTTATATATCATATTTTTTGCTGATCGTACAGCTCTTTCAGCCATACCATTTGACGCAGGAAGGTATGCAGGAGTATATATATGTAGAATTCCCTTTTCTTTTAAAAAGTTATTAAAATCAACAGACCTAAAAGCTGGTCCATTATCTGATACCAATTCTACTGGATACCCAAATCTGGAAAAAATATTATTTAATACCATAATGGTGGTATTCGCATTAATGTTTTTCACCTTAATAATCTCTAACCAGCGAGAGTACCCATCATTATTTATTAATCCGTAAAAATTTATAATAGGTCCAAAAAAATCAATATAGACTCGGTACCAGGGTTTGTTAGGTTGTACCCAATAATTTTGTTTAACTTTTGGGAGTTTAGGCGCATTGATCATGCACATATTACATCTAAAAATCATTTCTTTAATATCTATATTGACTCCTGGCCACCAAAAATACCTTTCCATAGTATCCAACCCAATATGTCCCTCATGTAACACACTAAGAAACTCTTTTCTTAACCTTTGAGGAATAATAACTTGTTCGCCCTTAAAAATACAATCATTCTTAATATTCAACAACTTACCGAATGCCTTGTAACCTCTAATCAGCTTATCATTTTCACCTTTTTCCAACACAATTTTTTTAACTTGGATTAATTCTGAATCTAAAAAGGTTTCTCCTTTAATCAATTCTAAATTGTTAATTATTCTTACATCCTTCATATCATTATTAACATTAACAAAACAAATGATATCTTCCTTAATTAACCTTGATAATCCATCAGGAATGATTTGATCCTTACCCCTCCTATAATTAATGTCAAAATCAAAACCGGCTAAACAAAAACCCATTTCTGTAACCTTGGAGACATATTGTAAAGCTTAACAGGATCTACTCCAAACAAATTCACCAGTGGTTTATGGTCCAAAAAAATTTTAAATCTCCTACCTACTACATATTCTTTCCATTTTTTTACTGCCAAAACAACAGACAATCTTCTTTTTCAATAATTGAATATCTTTTTTCACATGCCTTAGACATAAACTCAATTGGCCTTTCTAAACCATCTTCTTCTACCTGAAATAAGACTGCACCCATGCCTTTATTGGATGCATCCGTTGAAATAAACAATTCCTTATTTCTATCATAATGTGCAAGAATGGTGCATAATGCAATTTTTCTCTAATTTCGTAAAAACTAGTTCTTTCATTGATTCCCCTTTTAAGTAAATCATATAAATTAGCTGCTAATTTAGAAAAATCTCTTATAAATCTAGAATAATAATTCATAAGACCCAACCAAGAATGTAATTCATCCTTATTCTTAGGTTCGGTCATTGTACTTATAGGATCAATTTTTTCTTTGATTGGCAGTATGCCTATGTCACTTATTAAATAACCTAAATATTTTATACTCTCTTTGTAAAACTCACTTTTTTTTATATCTCCAATCAGCCCAAATTCCAACATTCTTTCAAACACTCTTTTCAATTTATAAAAATGGTCTAACTTATCCTTATCAAAAATTAACAAATCATCTAAATAATAAATGACCCCTTAATATCAGCAAATATTTCTTCCATAGTCTTCTGGAAATAAGCAGTTGATACTGTAAGCCCAAAAGGTAGTCTATTAAATTGAAAAAGAACCATGTGGGTGGAGACGGTCAGAAATTTGGAAGTTTCTTTAAATACAGGAATCTGCAGATACGCCGATGAGAAATCTATTTTTGAAAAAACTTTCCATTACCTACTTTAGCAATTATGTCATTAATCCTTGGAAGCGGATATTCGAACCTTTCTAATTGTGGGTTTACAGTAACTCTAAAGTCAGCACAAACTCTCAACGTATTATCTTTTTTTTAACTTGACAATCTGACAGGCTTAATTATTCCTTGCTGGCGCCATTGCTCCATAGTGTTTTCTAATTCTTCTTCTAACTCGAAGGGCACTCTCCTGGCCTTCACAAATTTTGGCTTAAAGTCATTCTTTAATAAAATATCTATTTCCAAATTTTTGACTTTTCCAATTCTATCATTAAAAACACAATCAAATTTCTTAATTAGTTTGTTGATGTCACAACTCTCTTCAAAATACCCTTTTTTAGTAAATAACGATTGAATGACATAATTTTTTTTATAAAATTTATCACTGTCTTTGAAAGGATTGTTAAAAGTTAAAAAATTTACCCTATCTCCTATCTCATTCTTATTAATAGTGTTTACATCAACGTTGATATCGATTATGTCAAATTCTAATCCAGTCTTGACCACATAGCGGTGGTCCCTCCCCATCCAATACATACAAATTTAAATATTTAATTGTATTCAAATATTTAACCTTAATATTCGAGACCTGACCAACGACTGTGATAGGAGAACCCTCATAAGAGAATAATTTTTTAGAACAATTTTTCAACTCAAATTCTTCATAATTCTCCAATTTTTCAAAATCTTTAATGGGCAAGGATGTCACCGGAGAACCCGTATCTATCAAAAAAGAAAAATTTAGATTATTAAGTTGCATATTAATCATAAAATCATTAATAAAATTTATCTTATTCCTTGGCCTCAAATTATATGGCGTTTGTATCATTTCTTGTTTTTTGAAATTGTTGTTGTTGGTGGTGGCCTTAAAATCCTGCTTGTTCTCTTTCCAAGACGAATAGCCTTGCCAATCGGCTCTATCCTCTCTTCTCCAAGAATCTTTCTCTATATATGTTTTATTATTATTAATCTCCAACGATTGAAATTTGACAACAATGCCCTCTATAATATTAAGCTCTGTAGTATTTTCTTCGATCAACCTTGTTTTTAGCTTTTCATTATGACAATTCAACATAAATTGCACCGACAAAAATTCAAGATTGAGCCCTGAACCATACCCTTTCAGTCTATCGAGATACTCTCTGGAAGACTCAAGTCTGTCCGGTTTTGTATTGAATAATTCAAATATGCGCGTAATCTTGTTTTTTTCAACTTTTTTTTGTATTAAATCTTTCATCTGTTGATACGATAAGTTATCTATGTTGTCCATAATACTAACAGCCATATCTTTGTCAATTGTTTCAAAAAGTTTGTATTTCTTAGTTGCCTCATCAACAATATTTTCGGCTACAAATTTCAGATCCAATGTTTTTAGTAGAACTTTGATTTTGATATGATTCCTATCCTCCACCATGATAAAAACAAAAAAGAGAAATTATAGGCTTGAAGATTTAATCTAGAATGGTTATTAGGATGGTCGCACAGGATAAAAATTAGACAGAAAAAAGACACTTTATTAAATTCAATCGAAGAAAAATGATAGTCTTTATTGAATATATTATTAGAATATTGACGTTGATGTAATGTCTTTTTTTATAATATGGTTATACAAAAAAAAGCAAGTGGTAAAAGAAAATGAAAATATATATATTTAATCGCCTTGAGATGTATTTATATACATGTTAATTTCATTGAATAAAAAGATAATATGAACATATTTAAATATACAATTACAACAAATTGAATAAGCGAAATATTTAAGAAGTATTTAAATATACAATGAATTACAACAAATTAAGCGAACATGTAACAATAATCTATATATTTTCAGGAAAAAAATAAATATTGACCTGTAAATTATTATAAAAAAATATTCCCGTTTTTTTTCGTAGTTTCCCCGAAATATAGTTTCCCATGAAATTTACATCCCTAGGCTTTTAGGTAATATCATCGGCAAAAAAAATTAACAACATACCAACATAAAATAATTTTATTAATATAAGAATAATGTCCAATATATTTTCAAATTGTGGCAAATATGAGTAACGACTTAGCTATTTATTACTGATTTTTCCTATAAAATATTTAAATAACTCGGTCGCTACTCACCTTCAAATTTTAACAACATGGGTTAAGTTATACGCGATATAATCGATAAATAAATAAATGTATTTTATATAAATAATATTATGAGGGATTGGTGTCATTGTCATCTCATCATAATAAGGTAATTTTCTCATCACCCAATGAGTCCAATATTGCTTTAAATTTAATTATATATTGTGAATCTTTGCTCATATATTCCGGTTGCTCCAACATGAGAGAAGTATCACTATAGTGAAAAATAATAATAAAATTATCAAAAGGCATTTCAATATACAAAAAAATGTCTCTTACGAGCGTGAGCTGAAGTATCGCGACGGCCCAATCGAGCCTTTTGCAAATGTCTATATATTACTAGATTGACAATTCATTCATTAAATGGCTTTTAAAAGTGTCCATACATATGAGTCAGCTGTAGCGCCATCTTGTGGTTTGTGCGTCGGTTAAATGAGATTAATATAATGTTAAAGAGACAATTAGTTGAAATGCAAACAATAAAATAAAGCTATAGATGACTCCTACAAATGAACACCACTAAATGAATTACCAAACTAGTAGTATATACTAGCGATCTGCACCCGACCTAGATTTTCAATCTCAGCCCAGCCATAAATTTTTTAAAAAAATCCTGCCTAGCTCACTCCCAATCGATTTTTTTTTCATTTGTTCATAAAAGTCTGACCCAAAATATAAATTATTCATCCGCCCAGCCCCCCAAATTTATTAAACATCTTTGGTGAATTTATTAAACTTTCACACTAATATTATAAATTTGCTTCTCAAAAATTCTAAACAAACATCTATATTTGAATCAATGATAATTAAAAGAATAACATCCTATTTAAAGTAGTTTTCTCATTTATTTAGTGTTATTTATTGCCTAATACTTATTCATTATAGTAAGAAGGATTTAACCACCTATCATTTTTAAACTAGATTGAAAATGTGTGGGTAATCTGTACTTAAATTGCTGCATAATGTTGTTATAGAGTTAAATTTGACAAAAAGGTGAACTCTATATTTTATACAGAAAGATATTATGCGAGCCTAAGATATGCTCATAGATGGTAGAGGTTTGAACATATATTAGCAAAATCTCGAGGCTTAGGCAATATTCGTTTTTAAAAAACAAGCTGAAATCGAGCCATTTAACAACACTGCAGAGGTACTATTTGCACAGCACATGGATTTTTTTTAAAAAAATAAATGTTCGGCCTGGTGCAGGTTTTATATTATATTTTCAGGCCCAGCCTAAAAAAAAATTCTCAGGCATCTCCCAGATTTTTTTATATATATAACATTTATTTTTAATTTTTATATATAATTATGGTGATTTAAAATATTTGGTATAAATGGCCTGGCCCAGGTATTTAAAAAAATTTTTTAGACCTGGCCCAGCTTGGTAAGTATATTTTTAAAATAAAATATGGATTAACCCATATACCCAGGCCAAAACTATAGGTCTTTGATTTTTATCAGAGACCTGCAGGCCCAGCCCTAAACCCTGGCTGTATTTTAATTTTTTAAATATACCCGGGCCTGGCCTGAAAATATTTTTTTTTAAATTATTCGGGCTGTGCTGTATATTTTAAAACCAAATATTTATAATCGCCATTATTAGTTATAAAAATCAAAAATAAACAAAATATATTTTTTTTTAAATCTGGGCTGGGCCTGAAAATTTTTTTTTAAAAATTTGGGCTGATCCGAAATATTAAAAAAAATGCAAGCCGTGCCGGGCCATATAAATGGTACCTCTGCAGATCTCTGATTTTTATATTAATATTATTTTCTTTATTATCAGATATTGAGCCCTTATCAAATATTGTTGTAACAAAAAACTTTAAAATAATTGTGTAAAAAGAATAACATTGGGGAAGGGGTAGGAACATTAGATTTTCTAAAATCATTAGGATCCTCCCAAACCATAGGATTCGCAAGTCCTTATCCACACTGTTACACCTCTCAAATAGTATTATTTCAGGTTGCCCAACCTGTCCCTAAAAATTTGAACAATCGTCACAGCCAGCCTGGCAAGCAGACCATAAATATGGATAGAGCAGATCTTTGACAGTATAATCATTATAATCTCATTTTTTATACATAAAATATATTAACAAATCTGAAAGAATGAGTTTAGGTTTAAAAAGAATTAAATCAGATTCATTCTTGGATCAGAGCCTATCTAAAAACAAAACAATTTTATTTATATTAAAAACAAAAATGTTATTATATTTATTTTAAGACAAAAAATCACTATTATAAAATATAAATGTTTAATAAATGATAAACCTTAAGCTTTGATCTAATATAGAGTGTTCATTTATAATATCTTCATTTGCTTTCATAAATACATAATGTTCAAGGTTGGGTCTATGTCCTATAAGAAATTTTGGTGGATAAATATTTGAATGTTTACCTATTTTATTGTAATCAATACTTTGCATATTGAATGGCATATTTTTAAGAGCATTTTCAAATAAATGTGTTTTTAAATTTTCGTAATATCTTAAAACAAAGATTAAATTTGTTATATATAACTTAAATTTTACTCAGCACAGTAAATATATTCATCATTTGTTAATTTATTAATGTAACTATCATCTTTATAGGTCATGATATATAGGGAATATAATTCTATCTTTATAAGAAACAAATATTTGTTATGTACCAATCCATAAAAATACTTTATTTAATCTTGTAAATACATAACGACTTAAAATATACTTAAATCTTTCAACCTATAAACTATATATAAACAAATTAACGTTAATTTAAACCTCAAGTTTTTGTATTGATGCTACAACTTCATTACTATCTTGTGAATTCTCTGATTGTTTTATTTTTTTCATTACGTCATGTATTAAACCCATTTTATTGATTAATATATCTGGTGAAAACGTTTCATCAATCCAAACCTAAATATAAATTAAATTGTTGGCAAATATTGTTTATAATACTTTATTCAATTTGTCTATTAAATTTTTTGCCTTTTTATCGCTATCATCCTGTTGATAATCACCCATAAATAAGGATTTAGGTACGAAACAGCGAAAATCAGAATAGCGAAAAATAAATAAATAAAGTATCGTACCGCCTTTACTATTTTTCAGCCATAATTAGGGATTTTTTCGCATGACTTTTTGCTAAATTTTGCTTAAGCTTAAAATTTGTATGCTCAATTTAACAAGCTGATTGCTCAATATATACTTTTACTTTATAAATATGAATAAAATGAACACTTATTAATAATAAATTAATTTTTTTTTTTTCCTCTTTTAGCTTTCACCTTTTCTGATGGTAAGCTCCTTCAACATCTCTCTCCACTTTATGTTATTCATACAATCTCTTTTATCTATTTTATACTTCTTTATATTGGCTCTAACTTTATGGCCCCATTGAAGTTTTGGCCTTCCTCTTTTACGTTTGCCCATCACTTCCAAACTTTCAACTTTATTTCCTATGTAGTTCATAGGCCTTCTCATTGTGTGCCCATACCACCTAAGTCTGTTTACCATTAACTAAGTCTTAATGGGCACTACCTTTAAACTATTTAGTATTCTTGTACTGCGCACCTTATCCTTTCTTGTTACCCCAGCAATCATCCTCAGCATTCTCATCTCCATAGTTTGTAGACTTCTCTCGTCTGATTCTTTGGTTGGCCATGTTTCCGAACCATATAGAATAGTTGGTTGTACTATGGAACTGTAAATTTTTCCCTTTAATTTGTGTGGGATTCTTTTGTCAAATAGCACTCCAGATAAAGATCTCCACTTTAACCACCCTTGATTAATCTTACTCTTTATCTCTTTTTCTATTGTGCCGTTTGTTTGTATAGTGGAGCCCAAATATTTGCAGCTTTCAATTGCGGATATCTGCCATCATTCATTTATATCAATACTCTCTGTTTCATCTCCTCCTATAACCATATACTCAGTCTTTTCTCTATTTACTTTTAGTCCGTGCTTTTCTAGGATATTTATCCAACTCAATAACCTTTCTTTCATTTCATCCTTGGATTCGGCAAGTATCACAATATCATCTGCAAATATCATATTCCACGGGACTGTTTGAGGTATAGACTGTGCTAATACATTTACTGTAATGAAGAGAAGTGGGCTGAGAGCCGACCCTTGATGAACTCCTTCGGCTATTGTGAAGCCTGCTGAAGTACCTGTTGTGCTACGGACCATTGTTGTATGTCCCATATACACATCCTGTATTATTCTTAAATATTTTTCGGGAACTTTTTTGTGGCGTAGCGCCCACCAGATAAGTTTTCTTGGGATTCTATCGAAGGCCTTTTCTAGATCGAGAAAGACCATGTGTAGTTTTTTGTTCTTTTCCCTGTATTTTTCACTCATTTGCCTAATTGCATGGATAGCATCGGTTGTTGATCTTCCAGGCATAAAGCCAAACTGTGTCTCTCCTATTTCGATTATATCTCTCAATCTTTTTTCTATTATTTTTTCGTATAGTTTTAGACAGTGTGACATTAGTGGATACCCTTTATTTTTGAAGATAGGAACTAGATAGCTCTGCCTCCATTTTTGGGGAACCTCTTCATTTCCAAGTATTTTATTGTACAGATTTGTGAGGAGATGTATTCCATCATCTCCTAGTGCTTTAAGGCTTTCTATTGGAATATCGTCTGGACCCCTAGCTTTGTTGTTTTTCATATGCTTGAGGCATGTGATTATTTCTTGTTCTGTTATAGGTTGTACAAGGTTTTGACAAGGGGAGTGTTCGTCGAGATGCAATATGTGGGAATTAAAGTTGAGAAGCTCCTGAAAATATTCTTTCCATCTATTCATTATTTCTTTTTCCTTTATTATCAATTTCCCATCTTTATTTTTGATTACTTTCGGAGCTCCGTTTATATCCCTAGAGTTCTTTTCTCGCTGTTTGGCTAATCTGTATATTTTATTTTGCCCTTCTTTGGTATGTAGATCCGTACATGTCATCGTATGCCATAGATTTGGCTCTAGCCACCGCTTTTGTAGCTAATCTCTTGGATTTTTTGTATCTTGCCTTGTCATCTGCGTCTTTGGATTTGTACCATATTTTATAAAGAGCTTTTTTCTCCTGTATAGTGGTTCGTACCTCTTCATTCCACCACCATAGTTCTTTATATGATTTGTTGCCTCCTCTTGTCAAGCCTAGTGTCGATTTGGCAGTGTCTATTAATCTGGATGAAAGGTATCTCCACATTTTTTCACTGACTTGTGAGGAATCTATTGTTTCAATGTTTGCATTGATTGCAAAGGCATCTGTCATTGTTTTTAATTTGCCCCATTTGATGCATGGTTCCAGTTTTATCTTATTTTGAGTGGATTTATTTGAGATTTGTAAATCCATGATTAGTAGCTTGTGTTGCGCGGCGATATCTTCTCCTGGGATGACTTTGCAGTCTATTACATCTTTTAATCTTTTGCGAGAGATTAGCATTTAATCTATCTGTGTTTTCCTAGTACCACTTTCATATGTTATTAAATGACTGTCTTTTTTCCTATAGTAGGTGTTGGTTAAGACAAGGTCGAAGGCTTGCGCAAATTTCAGTACGTGCTCTCCTTCATCATTTCTTTCTCCGTATCCAAAACCACCATGATGCCTTTTGTAGCTATCTCTTGCTTTCCCCACATGCGCATTTAAGTCACCACCAATTATGACTAGGTCATCCTTAGGGATTTCCATTACAGCTTCATCAAGGATAGCTCTAAAATCATCTTTCTCCTCTTCCTTGCAACCCGTTTGAGGAGCATATACTGAAAGGATGTGTAGTATTGATTGACCAATGCAGAGTTTTATCTTCATTAGTCTATCAGAGATCCTGTTGACTTCTACAACTGAGGAGGTTAGATCTTGACTGAGGATGATGCCGACACCGTTCCTATTGCTAACAAGTCCATTATAGTACAATTTATACCCATCTCCAATCATCAAAGTCTTCTGTCCTTTCCATTTCGTCTCTTGTATGCACGCTATATCAACTTTTCTCTTGTTCAACATTGATGCCAATTCTCTCGTCTTACCTTTAAGCGTCCCAATATTCAAACTTGCCAGTCTTGTCTTCTTTGCTTTGACCTTTACTTTATTTTTCACAGGATGGAGGTCTACACCCTGCGCGTCGCATGGAGGGAACGCCCTAGCTTTCATATTCATATTTCTATTTATTTCTATTATTTTGTTTATTGGACAGGTATCCTTAGCACCCGGCTGTCCAGGCCTGTCGGTGACAGGGGTGTCATCTCTAAGCTCCGAAATTCATCATACCATATGTCTTTACACATCAGTCATCGAAGAAAAACTTTGAAAGTTTTTGTTCCTTACCAGGATTGAACCTGCGTCTTTGTTCATACTCGTGTTTCCAATCGTACATCTTACCCGCCACCCCGGCGATAATAATAAATTAATTATCATTCCATAATATAGATTTCCTTCACTGTATGAAGACAGTAACATTTTGGCAGCCATGATTCACCCTAAATTTAAACTTAATTGGCCTTATATTAATCTGCCACAAAATATGATGGTAAAAGAAAGATTAGTTGCCCATTTGTAAAATATGCAGGAACAACCATATGCGGATACCTCAAATGAATGTATGGATGACATCGATGCTTTTTTTGGGGAAAATACTGTACAAAATGCTTGTTCCGTTAAAAATATTTTTTATTCAAATGATGATTCCATGAATATTTTACTTATATTAATTTTAAAAAAATATTTATTGATTATAATACACCTTTGCCATCAAGCGCTCCTATGGAACGCTTGTTTAGTAAAGCTAATCATGTTCTAAATGAAAGACGCGGATGTTTAAATGATGATAATTTAGAAAAAAATTTATTATTAAAAGCTAATTTTAATTATAAATAAATACATTATATTTGTTATATTTATTATTCAATTACAATAAATTTCTACCATATTTAATTTATTTTTATATTAGTTAATTTTGCATCGGTTATATTATATTATTTTTCAATTACAATAAATTTATAACATATATTAGTTAATTTTGCATCGGTCAGAAATTTCCTTCAGAAATTTAAATAGAAAAAAGGACGATCCTGGATTTCGATCCTCTTTTTTTGAAAAAATCATGATCGGGAGTCGATCGTTTTTAAAAGATTGGTTAACAAGCCTGCATATTACCTTAAGATTCCGTCACATTTTAGAAAATATGATAGTTATATTACTACTATGACCAGGCCATCATGTGCAGGGATATTTAAAAATAATATCTTCCAAAAATCTAAACAGTGTACAGGTATATTTTTTGTTAATCTTATATAAAATAATTATATTATAGCTCCTGCCTGCTTAGAAATAACACAAGTTAAATCTATAGCCACACAAAGTAAAATATAATTCTAATTTTATAATTTATAAAAATTTATTTTATAGCTGATCCCATAAATGTAGATAGTATATCAGTAGCCACTCAAAGTAAAATATAATTCTAACTTTATTTTAAAATTTTATCTGAAATATTTTCTCCAGCAACATTTGAGACCATAACCAACCAAGGTAAATTATATAATATATTACTAATATGCTATCTTGTTAACCTGGAAATTTTATTCTTAGCATCAAATAATATGATCCCTCCAACCAACCAAAGTATTTAAAATATGCCATCTTATTAACTTGGAAATTTTATTCTTAGCATCAAATAATATGATCCCTCCAACTAACCAAAGTAAATTTAAAATATGTCATCTTGTTAACTTGGAAATTTTATTCTTAGCATCAAATAATATGATCCCTCTAACCAACCAAAGTAAATTTAAAATATGTCATCTTGTTAACTTGGAAATTTTATTCGTAGCATCAAATAATATGATCCCTCCAACTAACCAAAGTAAATTTAAAATATGCCATCTTGTTAACTTGGAAATTTTATTCTTAGCATCAAATAATATGATCCCTCCAACCAACCAAAGTAAATTTAAAATATGCCATCTTATTAACTTGGAAATTTTATTCTTAGCATCAAATAATATGATCCCTCCAACCAACCAAAGTAAATTTAAAATATGCCATCTTATTA